TATTTAAGTTTAAAGTTAAGAAAACTTTTACTTAGAAAAAATTTGTTACTTTTCTATTGACTTCCCCTATATATATATAATTTTTAGTTCTTAGTACAGATTAAAATATATTTTAGTTTATAGTTTTTTTGTCAGATAGTTTTATATATAGATTTCTATAACTATATAGATAGTTTTTTACTTAGTTAACAGGTTTTTATATCTGTAGACAAGTTCTCTTAGATTTTAGAATAGTTTTTTTAGATCTTTTTGTATTTTGGTTATTTTTTTATATGTTTGTTTTATATTTTCCTTATTTTTATTTTACCCTTACCCTTTTTTTTTTATTTCTATATGAGAAAGTGTTATCAGATTAGCAGTACTCTATTGTAAAGTGGTGATTTTGACAAGATCAGTAAAGGCTATCTGTTGATATTGCATAGATAATACAAAATTTTAAAAAAGAAATAGCCAATTAAAGAATACAAATTTTAAGTATTCTAGATTAGCTTGACATAGAATCTGAACTTATACAAAAAAAAAAAAAAGTAAAAATACTCAAAAACTAGTGTGAAATCAACTTTTGTTGACTAATAAAAAATAGCAAGAATAAAATTTTATATATAAAAAACTTCAACTTATTACTAAAGTTTACAACTCTAATATCTTAATCCTAAACTTCTATTTTTACATACTTGGTTTATTTACAAAATTTGATTCTTTTTTTAGTTTGTATTACCCGTACAAATAAGTAAATCAGTTGATATCTGGGGCTCATATTCTCAAAAAGTTAAGGATCTTGGAAAGAAAAAAATTGTTCACTTAGGTGGGTTACTTCTGGGTTACACTCTAACATAAATTTAGGGTTTACTTTATTTTTACTATAATAATAAGATAGATCAAGAAATTCTTTATTTGTACAGGCATATAGCATTTCTGATGGATAATATAGTTCTAGCTAACTAAGATATCATGTTGTAAAGTGCTGCTAATTTAAAAAATAAAAGAAGGATTGCTAAAGTAAAAAAAGTAAAAAAAAAAATAACAATATAGTTAAAACTTCATAAATACACATTTTATAAATTTACAAAGTAAAAACTCTCTAAATGCATGACATTGTCTAGTTCCAACTTATAAAAGCTATATATAATTTCTACTGCATAAATGCACACTCTCTCTAAGTATACTATTTCAAAAATTTTTCTTATAGTCCTGATGTAATGTATTTACGGAGTTCTAACTGTACATAACATCCGGTGTTAATTCGACATGTGCCATAATGCCCTCCACCTAAAAAAACATAGCAGTTTTTTAATAGATTTAAAATTTCAAATTTTCTTGTTTTAACTTCAATTTTTTTTTTTATATCAAAAGATAATAAATTAGCTAATTAATCTAACTTAGTAAATTTCAAGAATAAATAAATAAATTTTTTTTGAAATGTTTTATATGAGCAACTCCTAGGTGTGCAAGAATACCCGACCCTCTCTTAGTAAATATAATAACACTTATCCGGCATTTTCTATTTATCGAATTTTGCATATACCAACTGTTATCCTGCATTTGAAATTTATAATTTTATACATTATCCAGATTATTTTACACGTATATAAAAATTATAAATCGATAAATATAAATGCCGGATAAACCAGTTATTCAAGCACTAAGTACTCATAACTACGGTACTATAGTGTTTCAAATACTAGTAAAGCGCTATCACGTTTTACTAGCATTAGAACACTATTTGTACCTTACCGTTATTTACCATATGATTTGACTGGTCGAATTTTGCGCACCTTCAGTGCGCAAAATCGACCAATCAAATAATCAAATAGCATACAGCAAATACAGAAATAACTATTAATTAGTTTTTTGTATTTTTTTTTATTTTTTGTAGCCAATAAAATCACAGTATTTTTTATTAATCTACTTTCTTCTCCACTTTCACGAGTTATATTGTATTATATTAAACAGAAAATTAATTTGAAATGGCCTTAGTATCGTAAAAACAATGTTCTTCGTTTCGCTCTAAACAATTAGCTGCCAATTAGTTAGTTTTTCAACTAACGACTTGGATCACTAGGCGAAAATATTTCCGGTACCTTCACTCATCACATGATCCGATAGACAGTATATATATAATATCGATATGTTTTATCTTTTAAAGTCCGTGAGAAATAACGATAAGATCTTTTTTGAGATTCTTTTTTACAGTATATAAATATAAATAAATTACCCGGACAATTGATTTTACCTGGCCAATTATATTCAAAGATCAGGTGTAACGTGCTACAAAAATTTAGAAAATCTCGTTACAATCATTTGATAACAGTAAGAACTGATTGGTAAAAATGGTCGGTACACCGAAAAAGCGGTCAAATTAGACGTGAGCCGAGCCGAGCCAGTCCTAATTATGGCATGCCAGGGCGGCTGCTAAATCATTTTAGCTGTGCCAGATTTAACCAGTTAACCTTATAAAGATTTAATATATCTAATTCAGATAATGATAAACAATACTTTTTCCAATAGCGAAAATCTCTTAATAATTATCGTTATCGTTAGGTGGTGATAATTAAATCAAAGATGTTTATGATTAACATCTTTAGTTACCTGATATATACTTATACCGATACTGTGAATTGATTATAAATTAATAATACAGTAAATATCGATATTCACAAACTCGTTCCATCGAACAAATAAATAATTACGATAACAATGGTTAAAAAAGCTATTGCAGTTCTTCGACCTGATCAACCAAATGGCACTGTTAACGGTACAATCATTTTTACTCAGGAAGGTGAAGAAGTTAAGGTTGATATAGATATTAAAGGGCTTCCAGCCGGAAACAAACTGCATGGATTTCATATTCAGTGAGTATCCGAGTATTTTATTCATGCTGATAATGATGTTATAAACGTCAACAAGATACCAGATTAAGTAGTAACGAAACTTGATAGCTGCAAATGCTAATGAAGTTTCTTTTCATGTGGTCGACCAAATTATGATATTCATGTGGTTCCCTTTAATTACGTATATTGTACGTCAGATTAATATTTGCGTCAGCCAAATCCGCTAAGTCATACCCTAATTTAGGCACTCACCCTAATAAAATTCCACAATTTTATCCTAACGCAAATTTTATTCTGACACACAAACATAATGTATACGATGTCATAATCATCTAACATCTAAAAAAAAAAAAAAAAAAAAATTAGTGAATTCGGTGATAATACTAACGGATGTACCTCTGCGGGAAGCCATTACAATCCACGTAATCTCAATCATGGTGATAGAAATGCGGAAGCGGACAAACGTCATGTTGGTGATTTGGGTAATGTTAAAGCTGTGGATGGTTGTGTTAAAGAACAAATCATCGATAAGATAATCAGTTTAGAAGGCGAACACTCGATTGTCGGGTATTTATCATTTTATCGAATATCATCCTTTGCTCTTGTGATTATGATTAATATATACTTATGTGGTCTGTATTGAAAAAAAGGCGAACCGTTGTTGTGCATGAAGATGAAGACGATCTTGGGAAAGGTGGTCACGAACTTTCTCTTACTACTGGTAATGCTGGTAAACGCCTTGCCTGTGGTGTTATTGGTATGCTTATTAAATCACGTGCATTATTGTTTCTTATTGATCTCTATTACTTGGGCTAATATATCTGTTTACATGATAAATAGGTATTACGAAACTATCTTCCCTTTGATCACAATTGGAAATTTATCAAAACGAATGTTTAAAAATATCAATTCTTGACGAATTTGGTCCTTTCATCTTATTTTTTCGTTTATTATGTTTTTCCAGAAATGTGCGATTTTTTTCTTAAACTGTAAAAATTTTAACTGGAAGACCTAATAAAAGTTGCTATGAATATTTTTACACAAGTACGCAATTCAAAATAAACTATATGAAAAACCAAAGGTTCTCCAAATACTTTATGACGTCAAAGTAATACAAATAACAAATAAACTGTTCTCTGCTACTAGCTTAACAGTACTTAAAATAATCAACGAAACCCTGTTAAATAATTTTAGAAGTTTGATTCTATCATATGCTAATAATATTCAATTACCAAATGCCCCAAAGGCTTTCCAATTCGTAACAAAACCTTGAACATGCGACCGCAGCAGAAAGTGGATATTGTGAGATACCAATTTTTTCATCTACCCAGTTGTCTGCAAAATTATCTACTCCGTGAGCCATAGCTCCAATGGCAATACAAATTGAATGATCGGAAGGTAGAGTGGGCAAATACTGTGAAAGACGAACCGGTGTGGCATCGTATGAGAGTGCTGAGGAAAAAAAAAAAGACCATTTCATCAGATAATTAAACCTTTTTGTATGAGTAAATAACAAGAAATGCCTACCTAATTTCACACATCTTGTTGGAAGATATTGCGTTACAGGATTTTTAATCACGCGTAATAGTTTTTCCTTCCCGTCCACTGAATGAATACTTAGTTTATGAAGAAGTTGCACTACATAAAACATATTAAAAGATATCCAATTCGAATTTAATGTCACTTCCTCCATAATCACATAAAATTTTATATGCCCGCACTTCTTTTAACCAACTACTATTAAGCTTATAATTGATATATATAAATATTATATGGCCTTTTTAAAAGTAGGTGATTATACAGTTATAAGGGCTGCGACCGTAATAAAATTATTATACGTACCCATTAAACCAGCAAACCGTTTAAACGTTCTAGGAATTCGAATATGCGGGCTAACTTCAATTAATACGTTATTTTCTGTATGGATATAAATTTGCATTAAACCAGCTTTGTTTAGAGGGCTGTCCAATAAAGCCATCATGCACTAAAGAATGAATAAAATTGATTTGAAAAAAACTGCATATAAAGTATGTCAAAATATTTGGGCATTATACCTGGTGCGTAATATCTGGTCGATAAACTCTATTAATGCCCAACTTCCGCAGTTCATTTTGGTGATCGTCATAATTAATCAATTGATATTTCGGTGGCTTAGAGTTGGCGACCTTATAAGTTTCTAAACACGCTTTGTCTAATACGACGATCAATCTTCGCGTTGACTCTTTTTCCTCAAAAGTCTTTGGAAGTTTCGGTGTTTGTGGAACAAGGAAAACATTAGTTTTCGCATATGTATTCTTGATACTGCCACTATTCTCGTCTTTTACGGACGCAGTATCGGTTATTTTTTCCTGAATGTTTACTTCCTCGGTTTGTACAGCAATAGACACGAATTTTGGTGCAGATTTATCGTCAACTTTTTGTTCCAGCTCGCCTTCTATATCATTATCTAACACATTTGTTGGCAGAACACTAGACGGTTTCGTCTTTGTTTTTTTCTTTACTGGGATAGCTTCTTCTTTATTCTTTTTACGCTTCTTCTCGTCAAGTGTCATTGTGTTGAATCTAGTTTGTCAAAGCTATTCGATTTTAAAAAAATCACCACCCTAAAAAGTTTCGTGGCCAATCAAATCTCAAGATCAGGTGTAACGTTACACGATCAGGAAATTCAAACAAACGTTCGTTTTGTCATAACACAAATTTAGGCCTTCCGCGCATTAATTAAAAGTTTCCCTTGTAAATTTTTAATATAAGGTTGTCATTTTAGACACAATCTAATGGTAAAATCATGATACTAACCTAAAAACACGAAATTTTTACTTGAAACTTTTTTTGGTGGCGATTTTACCCTCGATGATTTAAAATAGACAAAAAGATCTGGTGTAACAACGTGACACGACTAGCCTGCGTTAATATAACGCTAACCTTAATTCCGGTCAAAATTAAATTAATATTCGATAGACTCTCTACTGTATAATATGCCCGACACTTTAATTTCATGAAACAAACAAATTCGTTTCCATAATCTTTATATTCATGTTTTTCGGGCTTTAATATTCAGAATAACTAACGTACCCATCTGAAATAACTTGTTCAAGCGACCTATTTAATATAACTCATTAGACTCAATTTCCTCAAAATTATATTTTAATTTCACGTGATTAAGATTAGATTGACAAATTTGTTCTAATGTTAGCCGGAACTAAGGACAGTAGATCAATAGTTCGCATTATTTTAATATATTAAGGATCAAATTTAAGGCATAACGATTAGACTGGCACATAATGCTGGTCAAAACGTCTGGCACTTTAAGGATTGAAAACCGCTTAAAAATTTTTCTAATCGTTTAACCGTTTAATTTAGCCAATATTAAAAATAATTCTGGCCGATGACTAGCGATTTGGCCAGAACTATAAACCAATTTTTAAGCAGTTAAATTTAGGTCACACTGCAACTTACATGATTCATGTGTAAGTTACAATAAAGTGTATTAAAGCCAGCCAAATTATGTGAAATTTCTATATACTGTACATTAATATCAATTTATAATTTATATAACTTTCAAGTAATTTACATTAGGCCAGACCAATTTAAATCTTTGTTTAACATAATCTCTATTTTTTCAAAATTTTATAAAAAAATACACACCGTATTAATCAATCAAATGGCAGTATTAGCTTTTAATTAGCTTTTTATATTTCGTATATTTTTTACATCCAATAGAATTGCTGTGTTTTTTTTTTTAATTTGTGTATTTTTCACACCCTACTCTTATGAACTATTTAATGTTATGTTAATGGATTGGATTTACCCATACTACCGGTAGTACACTGTACTACTTTGTGACGGTTTTTAATGTGATTTTTCTACAAATAAATAAAAGCCGATTGTGCTCAAATTTAATAGGCTACTTACTTGAACCTAGGGCTTTCTTTGGTTATTTCAGGGTTGTCAGATTTATATTTGAATCAAATTCGATAGTTGATTTAGGATCATGTGAAGTAAATTTTGGATGTAAATCAAAAGCATAAAAAAGTTTAAAGTAAATGTACGATGATGTAATGAGGTTGTGTTACGCAAATTAATAATTATGACATAATTCCCTAATTTATAAGCAATATTAAAATTCAATCGAACAAAGAAATACTTATGTGAAATAAATTTTAAATAGGTCGCATTTGTATTTGAATCTCTAATTTTATACGATTACTTGTTAAAACAAATAAGTGCAAGGCC